GTCGAGGCCCGGCCTTGGACGGATTTCCGTTGTAACCGTCGGCGAATTGTTTTTAGCGGTAACACGCAGGAATGGTTGCTTCAAGCCCAAATCAGACACCGCCGTTCTCGCCACGCTTACCCACCGGTTGGTCGCTGCCCCTGCAAGTGCTAAAGCCAATCACTCTCCATCACTTGCCATACAGTCATCCGAACGTCGTACCAGCAAGCACAATGAGCTCAATACATGACGGAACTAAGAATTGGAAAAGCGTGAATGATCAAGCCCGGCTTGATTACATTCCGCTTCGTCGTGCAGCCCGGCTGCACGCGAGCACGCAAGCCTTTTCTGTGTTGGACGTTTGCAGCCGCCAACACTGCTTGCCGCGCTGTCAGCTCCCGGAGCTGACGCGCTGTCATCACCTCGACGCCTTTCGACGGAGTCCTTCGTATTTTTTGAACCAATCACGACCGTGTCAACTCTTGGAGCTGACACGCCGACATCACAGCTACTGTCTGTAGTGAGGACCCTTGTATATCTGATGTGTTAGTCCCCTCGACAGACGCGCCACCGTCACAGTCACTCTGTGACTTGAAGTTCTTCCATACTTGATCGACCAACCCCCAGAGTTGATACGGTCATTGAAGTAGGAACGTATCTCAAATCTGATTTTCGATTTGAGACAGACTCAGCGACTGCCTCAGTCGTTGCGACTTGTGAATGGGCACCGCAGGCTGCAGCGTAAGGTGCTGCCTCAACGGTGGGATCGGACGCACCTCGTGGTGCATGCGCGACACTGACAGGGTCATCGCTCTCTGTCGCGTTGCGTCCGAAGTGTACTGCTAATCACTGGATCATGCCATGCAAGCCACTGCATGCCCAATACCAAGCCAAACGTATCGTCCAAATCCAGGACGATAAGATCCTTCACAAACACTTGGTGTTTGTACGAGAAGCGCACGCGTACTACGTGCTTCTCCATTCTTACGGTGGCACCTGTTGCCAACCGCACCTCCAAAACACTTCGGGGTGTTTTAACTACCTCGAAACTCAGCTTCGGGAGTCTTTTCAGTCGAACAAAGCTGTTCGACGCATCTGAGTCCACCAAAGCACGAATAAAGCCAGCTCGCTTTGACGTCACTTTCAGGATGACAAGATTTGGCTTGTCATCTTGCTTCTTGCAGCGCGAATCCCTCTCGCTGGGGGCTGCAGTCCTCAGAGTCCCGTGTCCGTTGTAGACACGCGCGACTGCAATACTAGTAGGGCATCCCGTGCCTACTGGTTCTGCACGTGTTTTTTTTTATTGTACGCTACGATGCCCGGCATCGCCACGTTGGTCCCTGGCCGAGTGCACAGGCGCTGTGCACTCACGCGCAAAGTCTCCGGTGTACCCACATCGGTAACAGCGAGCTTGGCCCCAATACGCTGTTAGCGTCCAGCAGGTGAAGCATTCGAGAGGTCCATAGGCTCTGGGCCCCCGCTCTCATCATCGGACGTGCCATCCTTGGCACGTTCGCATGCAGCAAAGCCTGCTTCAGGCTAAACTCCTCTTGCATCGCAAGCGCAATCGCAGCTTCGAGAGTACTTGGGTACTCTCGGAAGAGATAGGTATTAACCGACCCATCCTTCAAGCCCTTCATGAACGTGACGACTTTTGTCACCTCATCGATCGGGTTGGTCACAGAGTTCGAGACCAAGTACCGCACACGTTGGGCGTAAGCATGAACGTCATGCTTACCTTGCTGTAGGTCGAGAAACTCTGCTCTCGACCGGAACTCATTCTGAGGGGGCTCAAACGCTAGTTGAACTCCTCCTTGAATCGCATACGTGCTAAAGCACGTATCATCTATGAGCCGGCGGCCATACGACCAGCTCCTCGCTCGTCCGCCAAGGCATGACATGGCGAATGCAACCTTGGAGGCTTTGTCAGTTGTATGACGAGCCTTTATGGCAGTGTTGACTTTTTTTCGACAAGCCATCAGAGAAGAGGCTCGCCCTCTTTCCTCACATACCTGCTCACGTGCAGTTTCAACGACTGCACGCACGGTGTCGTCCCCGACGACACTTTCGTAGCATCAGAATCGCGCTGCTCGCTCACGATGGATCCTAGAGCAACACCGTGTTGCTCTGTCGGCGACAGCGTACGTAGCATTGTCGCTACGACTGCCTCTCCCATGACTGTTGATAGTCTTTGGAAAGATTACCACTCTGGATTTGCCAGATGGGGACAGTCTGCACGCACAATGTGCGTGGCAGAAGCATTTGGGCAACGCATGGACGGATTACTGTTCACGGGTTAGTTCTCCACCCCGTGTTCCTATTCCACACGAACGCGTTAGTTAGTCGGTCGTTGGACGGACTACAAAGTGCTACGGGCCAACTTTAAGCCCACTATTTCGGCTTATACGTTGGCGCACGTGTATGAGGAAGCGTAAGCTGGGTTTCACTTGAATTAACTAAACTTTTGTCCGAAAGCATATATTTACATAAATAGGAAAGCAAAGCCGATTTCCGGTAAAATGGAGAACTGTTTATTTGTTTTGTTTGGGTTTCCTCCCTATCTAACATTCTAAATGAAAGGTATTTGCCAACGAAATCGAAGCTCGTCACGATTTTTCCACACTCCTACTTCGAGTATACTCGCTTACGGTCCCTTTACCATACTTGAGCGATTAAACCCGGACATTCGCGAATGGTTATCCAGCATCTGTAATAAATTAAAAGGCTTGCTTCGAGCCATACAAACTACGAAACTCTACTTGCACCATCGATAAAAGGCATCTCCGTGTAAATTATCACATCTTCCCCAATTGGTCTGTCGTCACAAAGTCGATGTGTATGCGCAATCCGTCATATAGTAATGACGGCAGTAAGGCAACACAGATAGACTCGAAACACATGACTATAGCGCCTGCTTCTCAGACGTTTAAACAAAATTCTTGCTGATAGCCCTAGATGGTGATACGGGCGCGATGCCGGATAGTTATCCCCTCTAATTACGCTTTTTGTAACGGAATTACACGCAAGTGGCTACACAACGCCATTTGGTTACGAAATAGGCTTTCCACGTTGGTATGAGATACACCAATGGTTACATTTGGCAGACTGTTGGTCTGCATGCATTTAAGGCATTCATTCGTTGGAAGTCAATATCTTCAACCAATTAGAATTGTAGGATTCTGCCAACCTTGATACTACTGCTTTGATGTTCAAGCTGCCTGCCCTGCATACGGAACTCCAACCAGTTACTATAGCTTCGAACAACTGGACTTTGTCATCGGAAACTTCGCTGCAAAGCTGTAAACCCTGTGTTCCAATCCACTCTCTGGTAACATTCTCCTTCTTGAGACAATCGCCTCAAGCAGTAAGTCTTCAAGAGCGCCAAGTGCTGGCATGCATCCTCCTCCGGCGACTCGCATTTGTGTCGGCTTGGCTGCCCAAATCTCCTCACGCTGGATCCACTAGCGGTGAGCTGTCGCTGGGTCAAAGTATCATCGAAGAGAACGGAAATGAACCACTGCTCGTGATGGAACACCTTCGCTTGTTGTGTTGATCCAGTCGATAATTTCTTGCTTCTTTCAGACACTGAAGGGGTTAAGCCTCGGCGTCATTCCAATGATTTGAGAATGAACCAACTCTCAACGTGTAAGCTCTCTCAAGCAGGATAAGATTCAAGGTCGAGGACTAGCGAGCAACGGCAGTGAACGTTAAAAACGTACTTGGTGGAACATTTTTACGTAAAAAACGACAACAAACGTACGCGATAGACCGGACCTCTATTTGATACAGGACTTTTATTATTAGACAGATCTTACCATTTGTGAGCGGACTTGTATTTCCTACAGGTCTTGAATTCGGGGAAATTCGGGTATAGCCCCTGCCTCCTAAAATTGCCATATAGTTAATTTCTAGAACCGGCAAACGTAATGTTCTTCTGATTCTTGTTGTCTGTTTGAATCATAACACGCTGACGCTATAAGCGAATAGGAAACATGAGCTGAGCTGTATAAGTTTTTAAATCTATACAAAATATGCCCAGTAAGGTTGTGGTGACGGAATATATCAGTTTCAATATTTTCTGCTAAAAAATACTGCACAGTGACATGTACAATGCTCCTCTCTACGTTACATCTCAGCAAGTGTTGTTTGCGAGCAATTGAATTCTAAACAATCGGAATGATCGGAATTCCACCATCCTGTGGTCATAATTCGAATCGCGCTGTTACGTATACCACCAAGGCATCTCCACTGCGGAGGTTCTCCATGTACAATGGCCCACGGGGAGCGTTCACCGGTCTTTTCAGTGCCTAGTCTGGTTCATTTGGCTCAGGCATCTCCGAGATCAAAACGACGAGAAACATATTCACAAACGCAACTTCGATCCCCTCTGCACTATCTCATCCAGTCATCTTCTACAACACTGCCTCCTGCTGCGAGGTATCTGCTATGCGGTCTCTAGGGTCTGCGTGAAGGTGCTACAGTTTTTCTGTAGGCAGCTCGTAGCGAGTAAATTTGCACGAGCCTATAGTTTGAAACAAGGCCGGTAGAATAGCGCTTGTTTCCCACTGAGAAGAACTGGGGTTGAGGACAAAACCTCGTGGGTGACAACCCCTTCGTTGTGTACTCAGTAAACATTTAACAACAGTACCACTCCGTTCCACTTCACTTGTCCCCTTCAACCTTTCAGCTGTTTCAGATTACTTGACCTCTCATTTAACCTGATTTTAACTATGAAGAGATGGGTAGGTGCACATCTCGGTAACAAACGGGGCATAATCTGCAGAGCCGGGGACTGAGTGGATGGGAGGTTTAGGCGAAAAACGATTTTGTTTCGCCGTAACACGTTCAATTTTGGTCTGCTCCGTACAATATGCACACATCTGAAATTAGATGAATGCCATCTTTCTACCACAGCCAATCAGGGCCTTTGTTGAATAATATTGACAAATCCCGAGGCGCATTTGCATAATAGGACAAGTGAGCTGGAACGAAGTAGCTTACCGCACTGGGTCAGCGAGTTCATGAAGCACGATGACTTGTCGTTTCTTCGCCGTACTTACTTGACCACACTTACAGATGAACAGCTACTCGCTCGCGCGATTTCATACATGCGCTATCTTAGCGCAAGCAAGAGCACCTTCAACTTCCATCACACAGTCCTAATGGACGAGACGGCAGTGCACTTCGAGGACGCACGCGAACAAACCGTGGAGGTCCGCGGTGCGCGACACGTAGTCGTCAAGTCGACCGAATTCCAATCGATGCGAGTGACGACAGTGCTGGCAGTAACGATCACAGGGGTCAAGCTCCCCCCCCCCCTTCGTAATTGGGAAGCACAAGAAAGGATCGCGTAACATCCAGAAGGTTGTTGGAGTGTACGTATCCTACCAACCGAAGGCTTGGATTGACTCCGATCTGCTGTGCAATTGGATCGATACGGTTTTTCCTAAGATGCTTCAGGCGGAAGGAAATACTATTGCGTGGGACTCAATGCGCGCGAACCTATCGCGTAGTGTAAAGGCCAAAATGTAAGGCCTGTGATATTGCTATGTGTTGTTATTCCAGGTGGGCTGACGGCATACCTTCAAGGAGGTGATATCGGCATCTACAAGCAGTTTAAGGACATTCTGGATAGCTATATCGACGAGTGGAAGGGCTCTGACACTGTAGAATACACTCGCGCCAGAAAACGAAGCCGCCGAGCGCTGGTGTCGTGTGTCAGTCGGTGCGAAAGACCTGGGAGGACGCTGATCAAGAAACTATTGACCGCTCTGTAGCTGCGGCTGGCTTCTCTCCGATTGAATCGGAATGGTTTATTTGGCGTCATGGTCTACGGTAGAAGGTTCAGCGCGAATAGGAGAATGAAGAAGAGAAGAAAGAGGAAACATAGCCCGGATTTGGATGATGAGCTTGCTAACGCATTAGATGACTTGAAGCTGGTTGACGAGTAATGCGGGAAGCGCAAAATGGGTGAGGCGCCGGTTGAAGACGGTTTTACAAACCAGTCGACACATGCATATCGTCTTATTACTGAACAATCATTGATGGTAATACTTTCATAAAATTCAAGTCCTTACTCGCATACCAGCCCCCTCGTCAAAATCGATTGATTTTTAAGAGGCTTATGAGGATTGAAAGACCGACTTTTATTCGAAAATAAATCCATTAGTGGTTTTTATCCTTTATCAGAAAAGGGATGGGTCGAGATCCAATATGTCGGGCCTCGTTTGCTGAGCGCCTCCTAAACACAAAGTAGGGTAACGTAAGGAGCCTATATCGGACTGGGCATATCCCTTTGGACTGCACAAGTGATAGGCCTAAACTCATTCAATAGGACCCTTTCTATCAGCGATTATGCGTATCATAGCACCGCTTAACTCGGTAGCCACACTACAATATGCATAAACTCAGTTTGTATTTCCTCCTGAATAACGTTTTTCTTGCAAAACTTGCCGGTAGGCGTGCAAGATATAGTCGGGCAGAAATAACGTCATACTGATCATTGAGCTCCTAATTCGGACCCGATATATCTAATTCAGACCAGCTTACCCTAGCCTCTATCCGATTCATATACTGAAAAGCCGCCCCTCTCTGTCTAACCCTCTGGTATTTTAAACCCCACCACCTTTTAGAATCCCCCGCTTTATTGGAGGTACGGGGGCCGACAGGCCCCCGTATCTCCGACGGTTGGCCAGCTAAGTCCGATTTCCGATAAGCCACTTAAGCAAAATACGTATTGGAGAGGCAACACAAGCCAGTGTTGCCACTAGCGACGTGGACGTTTGCTGAACGCCTCCGAAACACAAAGTAGGGTAAAGTAAGGAGCCTATATCAGACTGGGCATATCCCTATGGACTGCACAAGTGATAGGCCTAAACTAAGTCCGATTTCCAAGCAGCCACACTAAGCAAAATACGCATGGGAGAGGCAACACAAGCCAGTGTTGCCACTAGCGACGTGGACGGCATTTCTGCAAAGGCGCGGGGTCGATTTGTGAAGCAAGCAATGAAGAAGATGTATTCACCTCAGCTTAGTTGCCCTGAACATGAATTCTCAGATACAATTTTGGTTTCTCTATTCTCTCGGCCCGCACTCATTTGGATGTCAGAAGCTATGAAACCCAGCGGTAAACAATTTTGTGTCATTTCTGGTTGTACATGCGCACCTCAGGTGAAAGAATACAAGCAACGGGTTGTAGAGGATGTGGAATTCAAGTACAACGTACTATACGTCAAGTTTTAATGCAGCTCTGACAATTCTACAGCTTTTCCAACATTGAGCCCATGCTACATCTAGCGTGACCCGGATGTAATGATTCATCTTCCTTTTGCCACTTGTAAGAAGACCGGTCTTTCAAGTCGACTAGTGGAGCACATGCACGAGGGTATTATGTCGGCGAATGGGCTCGCAAGTTCAATTTCTCAGATAGAACGAAGGCGTCAAAATCGGTATTACCGCTTGCTATCGTTGTTTGCTTACGGGGTGCATCGACACCATGATCGAAATCCAACTTACGTCGCGCCAACAGCCCCTACCTTGACGAGCTATCTCGTGAAGAATAAAGTTCTCTCTCATGGATCACTAACGGACGCATGGTTGAAGTCCACTAAGCTGTATGGCTCGCTGTGTGAGATAGTGATGAGACAAGTTGTGGTGAAGAAAGGCCTTAGAATGGACCATTCTGTGAAGTTCAGTAAGCGCTTAAACGTCTGTAGCGCCCAAGGCCAGCACGAGAGCTTAGTTGGCGCTAAGATGTTGCTGTTGCTGCAAAATGAAATTGGTCCGATAGTGGGTCGTCGTTTGATTCGTTCAGAGAATCACGAGGAGACGGAGAAGCTACTTCTTGATGTAAAGACTCAGTTTGCACCGGATGGTGATTGTTATGTTGTTAGTGATAATGCTACCGCCGTTCGAAAGCTCATTGGAAAGAGCTACGGTGACTTAGTGTGTGTCAAACAGGATCCATTTCATGAAATTACTCAGTTTAGCGAGAAACCGAATTTGAAAGCTATTCCTAAGCTCTTGTGCAAGCCGTTGAAGACAGCAATGCACGATGTAAGCCTGAAAACGCCGATTGATTTGGAGCCCACCTTACGGGATGAATTATCCAAAATTGATGTGAACGAGTTGTCGTGTACGAAGACCGAGTAGAAAGGATGTATTGAAAATAATGTCGATCAGATAGCTAGAGGAAATCTCCACGTTAGCTCAAATGTGTATACGGAAGGCGACGGCCCTCCTGTGCGGATAACTTCAACAAGCCAGCTGGAAGGATTTCATTCCGTATTGAGGGGTACCGGTTTCAGACGGTAAGTACCCATAAACCGGTAGCCAAACCGGTCCAGCACGATCCCGCGATAATTACGGTACGTTGATTACGCTATCGATGATTAGACGAGTAGGATGATTGGACGAGTGTTGGTGATAGGATGCACCAAGCGATTGTATGACCTAGGTAATGAGGCTCCGATAAATCAATAGCTCGGAATCTTCCTTCTCCCTCTCAAGTGTCTTTGCTCCGGTCTTCTCCCCGAGTGGTGACTCTTCCCTTCGCTCCGTACAAGCCTAACGTTGCCTAAAACCCGTGACCTCTATCAGGTTATGAGCCCAAGTAACATGTCCTCTGCGCAAGACGTTTCAACTAAGGTCTCCATCGACAGGTTCAACGGTGACAACTACGCGACGTGGAGCCGCTACATGCGTGGTGTGTTCCTGACCAAGTCTGTATGGCATGTCGCGAACCGACAGACGACTCCAAGCTTCACGGACCGTCGTGCGAAGGACGTGTATCTCAAGTCGAGCAACATCGCGTTAGGATTGATGCTGCTCCACATGGATGCGAACTACCACCATGTGGTCGACAACTGCGAGGAAGCGTGGACCGTGTGGGCGCGCTTGAAGACGTTGTACGGTGGACCGCAGAAGGCTGGTCGTATTTACCTAAAGCGACAGCTCTTCAGCCTGGAGATGTCCGAAGGCGCGAATGTGTTGCATCACTGCAATGAAGTTCTCAGCATCAGCGCCAAGCTTAGTATCGTCGGTGTCAAGATGGAGGGCGAGGACGTTGCGATCTGCCTGTTGCGCAGTCTCCCCAAGAGCTACGAGAACGTCGTGCTACACCTGGAGATGAGTACTGCTGAGCTGAAGACGCAAGACGTTGTGAAGATGCTCACGAACGAGCATATCAAGCGACAAGGCGAGAATTTCTCTGCGGTGAAGACTGAAGACGCGGCGAAGGCGTTCAATACCGAGAGGGGGTCTTGCCAGTGTACTTACTGCGGGAAAATGGGGCACGTGATTAAAAAGTGCTGGACCAAACAGAAGGATGAGAATCGAGGAAGCCGACGCGGCGGCAACGGTCGTGGACGCGGGGCCAACAATGTCCAGTTGCTAAACGGCGACTACGACTACGGCTATGATCGTGTGGCGTTTGCGGTTTCGTTGGAATGTGGAGTTTTGACGGGGAAGAGTATGTCCAGGCTGTGGGCAGTCGACAGCGGTGCGACGCACCATATCTGAAGTGACAAGATTAAATTCGTCATGCTACGAACGGGATGAAGCCGAACTGAAGGTCGCTGATGGCACTAACGTTGCTCTCAAGGGTGTGGGCACCATCATCGAGCGCGTGATTCAGCCCAACGGCGATGAGCGCGAGATCGAGATCAACAACGCGCTCTACGTGTCGAAGATGAAGAAGAAGTTGCTATCTGTGCCGCAGATCAACAAAAGCGGCAAATTGCAAGTGGTGTTCGACGGTGAAATCATGCACGTTGCGCGCAATGATTCAAAGGAAGTGGTGGCTACAGCAGATCTCGTGGACGGTCTTTACTGGCTGCGCACACCACTATGCTCGGTAAACGCAGTGACTTCGAGGTCGAACGTTGACTTGCACGCGCGCATGGACCATGACCCTATCGACGTGCTACGCAAGATGGTCAACAACGGAATGATTAAGGGAGCCAAGGCACAGTTGAAGTCAAGTGGGGAAAGTGTCTGCCGCGGGTGTCAGCAAGGAAAATGGTCCAGAAACCGTTCCCTAGTAGCCGCGACAAACACAGCTACGACACGTTCGAGCCGCTTCATTTCGACATCTGCGGTCCCATGGAAGAAGAATCGCTGGGTGGGAGCAAGTACTTGCTGCTCATCGTTGACGAAGCCAGTGAATGCATGAAGGGTTTCTGCTTACGAGCCAAGTCGGACGCTGAAGAATGCCTCTAAAGCTACATCACGAAGGTACAGGCGCAATTCGGCAAGCGGGTCAAGTTTGTACGCCATGACGGAGCTCATGAGTTCGCGACAAACTCACTCAAGGTGTTCTACGAAGGTCGAGGCATCGAACAGCAGACCACGGATACGTACGCGCACCAGACGAACACGGCAGAACGCGCTATCAGGACTACCGTCATTATTGGTCGCAGCATGTTGCACCATACAAAGTTGGAGAGGTGTTTCTGGGGCGAAGGGACGATGGCCGTTATCTATGCTAAGAACCGCCTACCGTCACCCAAAATCGAAATTAAAGACTCCATATGAGATCGTGTACAAGGCCAAGCCAAGTGCAAAGCACATGCGTGTGTTTGGCTGTCGAACGCACGCCCTAACTCCGAGGGAGAAGATAATCAAGTGGGATCCCAAGGCTCGCGCTGGGTTGTTCATGGGTTATGAAGAAGTGTCAAGGGCATATCGAGCTTATGGCATCGCGGGGCAAGTGGTGATCAGTCGCGATGTTAATTTCGACGTGGTGTTTCGACGGCTAGTCCACGCGATGACGTCGCAGATTCTGATCTCGACCTCGACTCTCTCAGCATCAACGACACTGAAACTGTGGGCCCAACGGTATTCAAGCAGGCAGGGAAACGCAAGTCCCGCACAAGCAAAGCTCACGACATGACTACGAAATCGCGCGCTGCACAACCGGCTGCCGGTTTGGAAGAAGCTAGTGCTTCAGAAACCTCGTTTGAGCGTCAAACAAAGCGCCGATCAGGTGTGCGAAATGGCTGTGATGTGGCCGATGAAGACGAAAACGACGTCGAGGATCAAGACGACGATAACTCAGCTCCGCCTATATTTTGGCAAGCATGTGCCAACGCAGTGGACGCTGGTTATTTAGCTGAGTCGGCAACATTCCAAGAAGCGATGAGCGGGCCTGATCAAGTGCATTGGCGCAAGGCCATCCATGTCGAACTTAAGTCGCTTCGACTTCGCGGTGTGTTTGGAGCTGCCAAGTTACCGAACGGTCAACCGGCCATCGGTACGAAGTGGGTGTTCAAGATCAAACGCGAAGCGGATGGTTCAATCGAAAGGTTCATGGCGCGCCTTGTGACGAAAGGTTTCAAGCAGAAGTATGGCATTGACTACACGGAAACGTTTTCGCCCGTGGTGAAGTATGTGACGCTGCGCATGATCATTGCGTTGGTCGTGTACCTCGGCTGGCCCCTGGACCAGCTGGACGTGGTGACAGCATTCCTGTATGGCATAATGAAGGAGGTGGTGTTCTGCATGGTGCCAGAAGGTGTCGAATTTGATGGTGACTTGGACTGCCTGGAGCTGGTGAAGACGATCTACGGTCTCAAGCAAGCATCGCGCGTGTGGAACGAGACCTTCGACGACTACGTGTGCTCCATCGGCTCTCAAGTTTTAGCATACGACCCGTGTCTCTACATCAAGATTGTGGATGGTCACTGTGTGCTTCTGCTGGTCTACGTAGACGCCGTTTTGGTGACTGGTAGCTAGGCCGAGCTAATTGCAACCACCAATAGCGATCTCAAAAAGCGCTTCGAGATGACTGACAGTGGCAAGTGTGCGTTCGTACTGGGAACCGAATTAGTGTACAACGTCTTCTCCCTCTCAAGTGTCTTCACTCCGGTCTTCTCCCCGAGTGGTGCCTCTTCCTTTCGCTCTGTACAAGCCTAACGTTGCCTAAAACCTGTGACCTCTATCATTCCGGTTTAAAGAAGCTCATAGCGTGGAATTTTCGAGCTGAAGTTGGGCTGCACATTCTCGATGTACCAATTGCTCAGCATAATCTCACGGTAGGAGCACGACACGGCAGTAATCCAGAGCTCGGTCAGGTAGATCGAATTACCGCATGCCGCTCAGCCCTGCTATACATCCGTAATGGCAGAGGACTACTCGCAACTTCTGCTGACCAGAAATCACTGTATCGACTCATGACCACCCCCACAGAATCGATCTGCTCTACTCCACTGGACTTCTCGCTCAAGAAGTGGCAAACCATTTTTCAAAGCACATGTGTACATCCGAAGCAAATCTCGCACAGACAAAAAGGCATACCGCTCCTATCAAAGGGCTCCTGATGAAAAAAAAAACGCAGCGGCACTTCACACCTCTACAGTTGTTGGACGTGTATTCATGCATTCACCTCGTCTTGATGATAGCGCAGGCGAAGGGACAATCGGGTATTCGACAGAAGAATTTGAGCTACTAAGGCATCTTCGAAGAGAGCAAAAGGATCCTGGTCGTGCTTGGGCCGATTCAATTCTTGCAACAACCGTTATGTATAATCTAGTAGTGTCGACCAATAGTAGCTCGCAGCTGAAACTACGACGCTGCAGCATTTGAGCAATAGAATCTGCTCTAGAGACCGTGTATCCGCCGATAGAACAGGTCTCTTCAAAACCTGCATCATTGGCTACTGTGTTTCAGTTCCGCAGTCAAACTGAAGAAGCCTACACAGATCAGCTGTCCACCAACGAACAAAGTCTACAAATTGACCTTTTTACAGCAATACGCTACGCCAAGTATATCTCGAAGCCGGAAAGGATAAAAGTGTTCTGCATGCTTCTCATATTGCATCTTGCGTCTGCGACGGAATTCGTTCTTTCACTGAGAAGGACATGCGAGCACGCTGGAAAGCAATAAAAAAAGCAAGCGGAGCTGGAAAACTCTGAAAATCAAATTGAAATTATTGCCTGCTGTAGCAAACGACACGCTACGTAACCAGGCCGAGCCAGTACCACCACCTCCATCTTCCTTAGTAGCCGATATTACCCAATCCGATGCCATAATGCGTCATGGTCCTGCTTTGCATCAATCAACCACTTCAGCATGCCCATCAAACGAGCCGCCAACGGTCGAGGAGGGGGAAGGGGCAGCCTCTGACAGGCTTGAAATATCACTTGCAACTCATCCTCCCCCTGTCCGGATAACAGAAGAGCACGCCGAAGAACTGCGAAAGCTCTCGATCAGCTTACACGGTGTCCGAGGCAAATGGCCCCATCTCTTGAGCGTCTTCCACTCGTACTACCCTGGGGTCACCATGAATGAGAACACACTGAGAATGCGCTTAAGAAGCTCTAACCAGCGCTCCAAGACGCCTCCACCTCCCACCGATATGTTACCATCCATTGCAGAAGTACAACAGCCAAAGAAAAGGAAAACAATTGCGTGCAGTGCTTCCAAGCTGCTTAAGCAACACACGAGCACAGTTAAACACACTTCACACCGAAAGAATAACAACTCATCCTTTTCAAATTTGTCTCACTTGTAACGTGCTCAGCGGCTGGGCACACACCGACAAGCTGCTCAGACAGGAAGATCTGCAGTGTGCTTACTTCGTTGGACTGTTCTGGCGTTTGCGAAGTGGTATCCCATCCTTTTGTGTTTCTTACATATAAATATACCGGGGCAAACGGCAGGCAGAAACTGATTTTGTTGGTCAAGCCGGTCTCGGAAACCTCTCCGGTATTACCAACCAACCAAGGCCCCTTCTATTAGAGCCCCCGTACTAAATTCGGTTATGTGAGGCCTGCCACCTACAATTTTGATCTGATGAACATCAATCCGGTAAGTAAAAGGTTCAAGTCTTTATCGGCAACCTCTGTTTAAAAAATACGGTGATCTTATTGGTCAGTCCGCTGTCGCCATCTCTGTCCACTCAGCTCACCTCGGCGTCCTCTGCTCAGTTGCAAGGCCCTGTTATTACATTTCACAGGTAGATTTTTGGCAGCCCAAAATGATGGCGGATGGCATCGACGAAGAATGCGTGGCCGTCGCTGCAGCGTTTGCTGTAGCCGTAGCTGCTTCACACGATGGACGTCGCTATAGAGAGCCATCTTCGGCTATTTGGTCTGCATGTGCATGTCCATGGGATTCTTTTCGTGGAAATGAACAGTTTGTGGCTGGTACCCGCGCTATCTACGGCAGTGAAAGAGGTGACTATCGCGCCAAGGCGCAGAGACAGAAGGCACTCAATCATCCCCTCAGACCACACAAACCTCTTTCGTGTGGTTGAGGTCGAGGAGGCTGTGGTCTTCTCCGGCGTCGAGAGAGCGCTGGTCCCGTCAAGATCTGTTTCGCTGCTCTTTGATCGTCCTGTTTGCAAGTGGCAGTGTCCAGTCAAAGTATTACACCTTTGCCAATCCAAACTAGTGGTAGTGTAAACCAAAACGGAGTGTCCCTTATTTAGAAATTTATTTTTTAAAAAAATTAGAAATCCCCAAAATTAATCCAGACCAATGCGGATTTAGTGTAAAGCAAAATGATGAATATATCTTGTTCGATGGTCGCCTTGATAACAGTATCTTATCTTCTACAGTACTTAAAGTACTGCACATGCACCACGTACATTACATTAGTGCATTGGCTATAGCCACGAGCGCCCCGCACCGGACGCCGTTAGAAGTGTAGAACTCTTCTTAACGCTGACCGTCCAGGCAAGCAGCCCCAACACGAGCGCTTGATGGCACGTCAATCGCTGATGCGCCGTTTTTGAGACGCAAACTCAGAGCTGCAACCCCTCGCCTTTCATTCCCCACGGCTGGTTAACATCTGCAAGCGCAGCCCAAAGCTCTCATCCTTGATGTACTCTGTCTAATCGGGTTGCTGGCCGTCTTGGTCCCTCTATCGATGATTATGCAGGCTGTACAAGCTAAGAGGTCACTGTGTGCACCCACACTCTCGTGTTCTGGCGCCCATACGCAGCTTTCACGCCCCCTTACATCTTTGTGTGTACCCCAGTCCGCAGCGCGCCCGTAGTTCGTATTGCTGGATGTGTCACTCGCGTTCTTGCCAGTTTGCACTACACTAAATCTACATTGCTCTAAAAACTAATTTTGTAAAATTATTCCTCAAATTTAGATGTTACTTCGGTTACTTCACTCCGTTTTGGCTTACACTACCACCAGTTTGGATTGGCAAAGGTGTAGATGGTACAGTGTACCACTGAACTGTATGAGTTGAGAGAGGTTGATGTTTCGGTGCCATCTCATTTAGTCCCTCTAGTGTTACTTTTAACAGAGGTGGATTCAACAGACTTGAACATCTACTTGCCCCATTCTCGCATTATACATGCGTCGTAGCTTTCTCTGTTGCTCTGGGCGCAGACGCGGAGCTCGCGCTTGCTCGTCATGATCTCTACGGCCCTGGGTTTTGCCGCTTACTTGCTGGTGAAGAGTCCCAAGAGATCGTGGACAAGGTGTCCCAGTTTATCCTTGCCGACATGGATATCGACATCGAAATCGGCTTCAAGTTATAGCGGTATAATTTGTCTCAGTACAGTTTGCGAGCCTTAAAACTGTAATGAACCCCTCTGTATTTGAAGGACTTATAATACCGCTTTAACACTCGAGAAATTGGCATGACATGTATTGGAAGAAATACAACAGACGGAAGCGCTTTCTAGCCAATGACAAGAGATTCACTAAAGAGGGGATAATAAATTGTGTTGGCGCCATTTTTCTGGAGAATCTGTACAGCCTAAGCCTGGATGAGAGCACAGTGGGAAGCAGCGCAGGCGGGACTGCGTGTCTTCTTGGAGGAAGATGGCGAATATGCAAACTTCCTGGAGAGTATCGAGAAAAATTTGGCGCGGAAGCTGCGCTTCGAATATCAATCACGAGGTGGATCTCATGTGGAGAGCGTCGCCTTCGACCGGTTCTTAGAGGTCGCCGCGCAGATCTGGCACATTCACGCGTTCTTCCAGTCAAAGCTGAGGGCAATTGCCGAGCCTTTGGCACGTGGACCTGCAGGCTCAGTCGAGGAAAAATGCAACAGCTTTGTGGAGATTCTGGCGGATATGCTGAGCCTCCTCCGCATGCAATACGGGCAACTCTTTTGTCGACGTGAAGCCACTCAAGCTGCATTCGACGCAGCTTTAGCTAACAACATAAGAGAATGGGACGGTAAGGTGCTGGAAAAGTATCTGGCGAAGCAGCAGCTGACTGCAGACAAGCTGGTGGATCGGCCATTGCAGCGATTCGAGGAACTGGTAGAGTTTGTTGAGGCGCTGAGTAAGACTCTCTCCGAAGATGGCATTGATGGAGCTCTAAGCAATGACAGTGATATGGGTACTGAAGAGAAACTCAACTATGCTCCCCAACTGATGCATATCGTCCAAGAAACCAAGCACTACATTCACCTGGTCAAGGCAAATGCACGCGAGGAGAAAGAATTAATATCGCTTCAAAGCTGCTTCTACGGCGACGGAGCTGAGGCTTTCCATGATTTGTCGGACAATAAGCTGCTTCTTCACGGTGAAGTCTTCTTGTCGCAAAGCGATCGGAGTGGAGCTGATTCAGAGACTGCAACAAGTATTACTGGTTCATTCTCCCAGCCAGAAGATCTTTACCTTCATTGCTTTCAGGATGGCACGTTAGTTTGCAGCAAACGACAGTGCTCTGAGTCAGGATCTGCGTTTACCATCCTGCGCCGTCTACATCTCAAGCAGGACGCGGCCTTTCTGGAGTTTGTTCCGTCAATTGTGCCGATACATGAATCTTTAGAAGAAACGTGTGCTTTGGCACTGATTCTGCAAGACACAACACTCGTCTTTTCCTGGAGAGACGCATCGGAGTATCAGCAATGGTCTGATACTATTGGGGGATTTCTGGAAATGAATGGATCACGGGCTGAAAATCTTCACCAAGGCCGATCGATTGATGCTCTGCCAGTACCTGAAGATATTTCAGCGCAGCTTGTAGAGACCGATACCATACCGACCAAATTTGCCTCGTTTTATGACGATCATCTTCCTGGCGTCTTCTGGATGATGATTGATGACGCCAGCAAGTCACGTTGGGAATTGGTCGAAATTGTCTTCTATGTTAGATGGCTGGTAGTTTTCAAGCTCGACGGATGGAAAAGGCACTCAGCTTTATGTCAATTTGATACGCATGCACCTGAGATTGAGATTAGTGAGCAGCCACGAGGAGATAAAGAGTGGAGCTTGGTCATTTCGAATGGATCTGCTGGCAGTCTGACACTCGTATCGAAGAAAAGGACTAGAATTGACTTCTGGTTTGATCAAGTGTGGAAAGCCATCGAGAATGCCCAAGTTGAAACTAGACGAACTGAAAGAGAAAAGAGGGAGCGAAAAGAGATGGAAGAGGAGGAACAATCTATGCGTGTTGAGAGGAAGAAGCGAAAGTTGCAGACGGTATCTGACAAGGATGAAAGTGCCGTTGATGCGACACTAAACTCTTCCTCCAATGCAAGTCCAGCAGGGTCTAATAACTCGAAGCCTGATGATAAAACGGACGAAGAATATGGTGAGCTGGATAAGAGTACATCAAGTATCGTTGTGGCAGAGGAACTTATCGCAGCACTGCCAGTTAGCAAGAAATCCCGACGTTTATCCGACAAACCAAAGCCGATATCTGCTGCGGCTTCCGCCGAAAAGGACACTTGTACCTCTTCCATCGTCTCGCCAGCTGTGACAACTCCGAAGAGAAGATGGCTGAAGAGGAAGTCTGAGGACCCTGACGACACGGCCTTGATACCGACGCAACCAAGCTCAAGCATCCCAACTGATGAGACTACGAGTGAGATTGATACCTTGCAGCTTCCTGCCAACGAAGCAGCTGCTGAGGAGCCGAGGACCCAGGAGGTTCGGATTATCCTCACTGGTATTGAACCTACGGCTGCCATCCGAAAGAAAATCGATTCGATTGCTGGTGCTCTATACGAAGAAGACATTGAGAAGGCAACGCATATTCTGGCCCCGAAGAACCAATTAAAACGAACGGTGAAGCTGCTGTGCGGGATATCGCGCAGCTCTCACGTCCTGGACGTGCGGTGGTTGGACGAGTCGGCACGTGTGGGCGCTCCTGTCTACGAGCGAGCTCATTGCTTGAAGGATTCGAAAGCTGAAGCGAAGTGGAAGTTCGATTTGTTAAAAACCATGTACGACTATACCCCCGAGCAGCGGCAACAGCTCTTCACTGGACATCGGGTGTTTATCACCAACCACAAGTCAGTACTTCCGCCGGTGAAGGACCTGGTGAAGATCGTTGAGTGCGCCGGTGGAGTTGCTGTGACCAAAGGCAGTGCCGATCCGAACGACGTGGTCATCACGAGCGACGCGGCACTGGTCACGGCCTCGGTTCGCAAGGCACTGACGCAGGCGAACCCGCAGCGGATCTACTCGGCTGAGCTTATTTTGAGTGGTATCTTGCAGCAGCACATTGATTTTGACCAGAATCGTCTGGAGCAATCGGGTGGTGGCAGCAGTCGCCGACGCAGGTAGACGTCGGGACTAGCAATTTAGATCATCCATGATCGGCTGAAAAAATACAAGGCGACGGGATGGTGGAAAATGGACTTAATTCTGTGCTTTACTTTACCCTGCTCGCTTGGGCGGGTCGACAATCCTCTCTCGGTTGAGTATCGTTGTGTGCTGAACTTGTGGTCGGAGCACTAGTATGAAGCGTAAAATGGAATTGCGATGAAGTATTCTGACTAAGTTATAAATTCAAGCGCAAACTATTTGTTGGAAACCGCATTCAGGTTGAAGCAGAATGAGTTCTTTACATCGTCTTTTGGAACGATCTAGCAGAGTGATGGTCAGAAAGGCAGCCCAGTGCGGAATCGCCGCACTGCTGCCAGTCCGAAAGTTTCCTTTAACCCAACAAGTTGTGTGTGAGTGCGTTAGATCTGTGTTCTGTTATGGTTATGAGCCCAATTAGATCTGTGTTCTGTTAGGGTTCTGAGCCCAAATACAAGCAACCTACAGCGCTACACGCTAGTAAACGACACTCAAGCAACAAGATGCCATCCTCAAGCGACTCCGAAGACGACCGACACAGCAGAAAGAAGGACAAGAAGTTCCACATCAACTCATCCGGAAACCCAGTGAACTGGGGGGGAGAGAATTGGCCTTTCTACAAGAAGACCATGGTGGTGGCGTTCCAGAAGAGTCTGCTGGAGCAGATTGCTGTCGGCAACGTGACAGAAGACGCTTCGTGGAGTCAAGACCAGAAGGATGAGCATACAAAAAAGCAAGCGAAGATCCAGATGCTGATCTTAGGCTCGCTGACAACGAGGCTCGCTCAACAGCTGATGGACCAGGAGACTGGGACCGATATGTGGGCGGAACTGTGCAAGATCTACGAAGGGAAGAACAACGACGCCACCAAGGTGCAGAAGGTGTATCGCCTGCAGGGCGAGCTACACAGGACTGACCTGCGCGCGAATGGTGACGTGCGAGGGCATTGTATGCGATGTTTCGCATTAGGAACGAACTCGCAGAGCTCGGATCACCATTGAGCAACCTTCAGATGGTCGACATGTTGCTGCGAAGCCTGCCAGCGCAGGTTTGCTACAACGAGCTTCGTAGAAAAGTGCTATTTAGCTCGAATATGAGCAAGTACACACCCGATTTTGTACGAGAATTGATTCTCACCGCTGAGACTCGCAGTAAGGACTGGGAGAAAAGTGCATTCGGCAATAACCAAGGCAAGAAGAAGCAAGGCAATGCTTCTAGCGGACACAAGAGCAGCCAGAACAAGACTACTGGAGATGCAAACAAGAAGAGAACGGCAAAGGCAGACGTCGAGTGCTTCAACTGCGGTGGTAAGGGCCACTACAAGCATCAGTGTCCGGACCTGGAGGACAAACCCAGGGAGAAGAAGAGTGCAAAGGCAAAGATGGCACGGTCTGATGTCAAGCCCGCGGCTCAAGTTACAGCGGATGCGACCGTTGAGGATACACGCATGCACAAGCGTGAAGTGGTGTTGGGAGAAGTAGTGAAGCGAGTGGCGAAGGACTACGATTCCAGTCGTTGGTATTTCGACAGTGGGACCAACGCCCATATTGTGGCGAGCAAGGAGTACTTTACGGTACTGAATAACATGGAAGACAGCGACTGGAACCCGACAATTTCGGGCTTCGCGGACGGTGTCGACGCCCAAGCAGAAGGCTTTGGGACGATTTTGCTCGCGACCATGATAGCCGAAGAGATGGTATTTGCTTTTGTCGAAGACGTGTTATACGTGCCGAAAGCTGGTTGTAACCTGTTCTCACCTGGACAAGCACTGGAGCAAGGCTTCAAGATGTCGTGGGATCAGACGACACTGCTATTTGGTATGTCGAAGGACAACACGGAGGTAATTCGAGCAAAGCATGAACATCGACTGTGGAAATTTGACGCGCACAACATCGGTGGTGTTCAAGTCAACAAGAAGTCTACTGCTGTTAGGAAGCAGGTAGTGGCAAATTTTGCGGTGACGGATGGAGTCGAGGACATCGACGTCTGGCATGCGCGTCTGGGGCACACATGCCCGGAGTACATTCGCCTTATGGTCGACCGTGGATCGGCCAAGGGCATCATGCTGAAGAAGCGTGGGAAGATGGATTGCGCTGACTGCCATTTCGGCAAGCAGAGACGCAAAACCTTCCGGAAGAAGTTGGAGCGGAACATCGAGAAAGTGAACGACTTAGTGTTTGCCGATTTACTGATACCTGGACTTCACAACGGCACACAGTACAGTGCAGTGTTAGTCATAATGGATGGTTTCTCTCGTTTCATTACGACATACCTGCTGAAGTCGAAGACTGAAGGCGAGGTGAATGGATACATGAAGCAATACATTGCCTGGGCCGAGCGGCAACACGGACGTCGTGTTGATACAGTGATCACTCGGCGGTGGGATGCTGCAGCTCGTGACGAGAACGATGCCAACATTGGGCCAGTGAAGCAAGTTCTCACGGACAAAGGCAAGGAATTCTGCAACAACTCAATAGAGAGCTGGTATGCTGAGAAAGGAATTGTCCACACGAAGGTTGGTCCAAAATCTTCACAGCTGAACTTGGTGGAGAGGACACATCAGACACTGATAAACATGGTCAAGACTATGATGCACGACTCGGGGCTTCCGAGATCGTTTTGGACGCATGCTCTACAGACTGCGGTCTATCTAAAGAATCGAGTCTTCTGTAAGGGAGCAGGGCGAACCCCGTACGAGATGATGTACGGTACGAAGCCAGATCTTCATCACATCCGCGCGTTTGGATCTCTGGTGTACTGTCATACACCGGCCACAATGCGCAAGAAACTAAGTGCGAACTGCAAAGTGGGTTTTTTGATCGGCTATCAAGAAGATGTTGTTGGCTGCCAAGTGTACTTCCCTACCGAGCATCAGAAAGGCTTCGTTGCAGATGTGAAGGTAAATGAAAACATCAAGTACAAGGACCGCTATGGGAGTGTCTTCAAGTCGAAGGTGAACAAGTGGCTGCAGACTTTCGATGAGTTTGTGCAGGATGGTGCTTTCGATGATGCAGAAAGTGATAGTGATGAAGCGTCTCAACAAGCTGAGTGTGACACAGACTCCGTGCGAGCTGATAGTAATGTAGACATGGAGAGTGTGGCTACAAGCGACGGCCTTGATGTTGCTCAAGAGGCTTTGTGGGACAATATTGTGAAGAGCAGCGTACTACCCAAGTACGACCAGCCATCGAGCAACACGCCGAGAAGTACACTGGGTGAACGTGACGAGCGATTAAGGGAGGACATCCTAAAGAACAACTCGCTTCCAGACTACGATGATGCGTTCGAAGATACGCAGGAGGGCGAAAATACAACTATTGTTGAGCATTGTGCTGATGGAGGTTATGACGAAGATGATTCTCAATTTGATGAGGATTCTCAAGTTGATGACGACAACGATAATCGCACGGCTGATGTTTCTCAGATGGAAGAAGAAGATTCTCTAAGTGACAATGACGCAGAGTCGGTGACTGAATTTGATGAACATGATGGGCATGAGTTTGATAGAGATGATGGACTGGACGTTAGTCATGTGTCGGATTTAGCACCGGTAAATGATAGCGAGGAGAGCGAATGCAACGGCTACGACTGCTTGTTCGACCCGAGTGACGAAATAGAAGCCGCCCATGAAGGCATGAGTGATGAAATGGATGATCCACCAGGACCCGGAGGTGGTGTTCTCGCGTTTCCTCAGCAGTTACTAGTGGGCAAGGTGCATCCGAGAGATGAAGAAGTTCGCCGTGCGCAAGACCGGAAGCGTACCAAGGTCGGAGCGAAGCGTGCAACAGCAGCACGACGACCAGGACTGCGCGAAGTTCCAAATACTCGCAAACCCGAGCGATACGAAGACTTTGCGGTGTACTCAGCTTTCAAGGCACTGCATGTAGATCGCCGTGGCAAAGGTGGACTGCGCGCAAGTGACATCAAGATACCACGAAACTACAGAGAGGCAATGAGATCAAAGCAAGCAAGTTTCTGGAAGGAGCTTCACTGAAGTCCAAGCTGTTGCAGATTTCAAGAACAGAGATGCCAGCAGGACAGCATGCTATCAAGACTATGTGGGTTTTTGACGTGAAAACCGATCATTTAGGATATATTGTGACCTTCAAAGCACGTGTCGTGGCCCGAGGAGATAAGCAACGTTTCGAAATCGACTTCACGGACACATTCTCACCGGTTGCACGCATGGCGACATTCAGAATGTTTGTTGCGGTATGCATCATTCTAAATCTAGCGATCTACCAGGGCGACGTAAACACAGCGTACCTCAATGCTGCGCTTGGAATAAAGCAGTATTTGGAGGAAGTCCAGGGCTACCCTTGCGAGGATGGCGGGATGATTTACATCATCAACAAGGCACTGTACGGACTACGCCAGTCCGGAAGAGAGTGGAATTCAGAAGTGAATAGTTGGTTCGTGAATTATGGGTTCAAGCAGTGCAAGACTGAGCCATGCCTCTACTTTTACAACAAAGATGGCGAGTTTGCCATGGGTCTCCTCTACGTCGACGACATCTTGTGCGCGACCAAGAGTGAAGGATTTAAGAAGAAGATGTTTGAGAAGCTGGACAAGGACTATGGTTTGAAGGACCAAGGTCTACTCAACACATATTTGGGCGTGCAGGTGGAACAGAGTGAAGACTCCATCAAAATACACCAGACCAAGTATTGTGACGAGATTATTGAGCGCTTTCACTTCAGTGGTGCGCATTCCAGTAGGATCCCGATGGAGACGACTTTGCGTCTTACCGTGAAGGACACTGACACAAACCAGCGCAAGCAAGTGGCCGCGAACGGCAAGAACTTTCCGTATCGTGAACTGGTAGGGTCGCTAATGTACCTGACGACCTGCACTCGCCCAGACCTAGCGTTTGCTGTTGGACAACTCAGTCGCTACGTTCAAAATCCTACGCAGCAGCACATTGGCGCTGCCAAGAGAGTGCTGCGGTACCTAATCGGAACCAAAACCCAAGGGATAGTGTA